CTGATGACAACTGTAATGTGAACTAGAGCTGTGTTATTACTATGGCCAGCACAGAAACCTGCTTTAAGAGGAATTAGGAAATCAGTTTACCTAAGTGTGGATAAGACATTCGAGGACTTTAGAGAAAGAGAAAATAAAATAAATTTATGGAGCGGTAATCAAGAACCGAACGAAGGAACGGTATACGAAATTTAATCAACACTCTTTAGGGAAAGAAGTGATTTGAAGAAATTTCCACGCAAAGCGAAAGATTCTATTGGATACGGAATAATTGAAGAAAAGCCAAATCGTAGGTAGAATTTCATATGAGCTTATTATAACATTAAAAGTTATTGATATTATGCTCTTTTTTGTACATTCAGTCAAAAAAGTATCTGGAATGGATGATTTGTTTATGGTTCCAAATTCAAAATTTACTTTCTTGACAGAATAGTCTCACAAGATCAAGATTATCTACAAACGGATTAAAGTCGTCAAAGTTTGAAGAAACGAAGTATAACTAAATGTTATAATTTCAGAAGTAGAAGTAGGCAGATGCGTATTTAATACTAGTAATGGTACTATAAGTAAATAGTGGTAAGAAAATAGTGACGCACCGTGACCAATCAGGTTCCAAGCTACTAAGTAAAGTAAAAAAACTAAGTACTAAACGATAATTTCTAGGAGCCTGATTGTACTTGAACTCTAATGGTCTACCAAGCACTTTAAGGATTAGAATGGAAAATAGGGAGTTTATTAAAAGGAGTAGTAGAGAAAAGGAGAAGTTCATGCACATTGATGGGAATATTGCATGGACTTCTCCTTTTAATAATTAATATATGAGATATTGGTTATACGGATGGATTGAAAAAAGGCAGCAGTAGCTTTAGCAGGTGAGGATCACAAATTTTTAGTAGTCTCTTCAAACTTAGAGAAAACGAGAAACGAACGAGATAAAGGAATTCATGTCAATCGTCGAGAATTCTACTTCAAAAATATTTAAGTGATTACAATGTTGCTTTCGAAGCACAGGTTTGATATAAAAGGAAGATAATAGAATACGACGCTGCAGATCATGCTCAGCTACTGAAGAAACGAAGTTGATATGGAGGAGACATGAGTTACTGGGGAAAAATAAATGGTAGTACTAGGCATGCCGTTTTCATATTTTCCGGCAATTTTGAATTTGGAACTGTTCTATATTCGAATGTGTTTAAGTTTTGAATCTCAAAACAGTTGAAAGTATTAGGATTAATGCTATTGTTTAGTCACAGCGTCGATTGGAATCTGTCAGGTTACGTACAAAAATGAATCTTTCTAAGGAAAATGATCGTGTAATAATTATCTACAACTTTAAAAGAGGCCTGACACGGCTTCAGTGTTTTGAAGAGCTAACAATTGTGTTCAGTGATGAAGCCCCATGTCTGCGGACTGTCGAACGCCGGTATTTAGAACTCCCGCGTGGACATACTAGTGTTAGTGACAAATCTCCTGAAATCACATCATTGCTGTGAGACAACTAACTCTCGAAGATCGTCAAGTGACGTATCGAGAGATAGAGGCTCTATTAGGCATCTCAGGGACAACCATTCAGAAGATCTTGCATGAAGCGCTTGATGTGAGAAAGTTTGCCGTTGGATACCGCATCTGCTTTCCGACGATCACAAGGCGGCCCGCGTCAGATGGTGTAAGAAAACTCTGCAAAGGTTCAACCGAGGAGAGTCAAATCACGTCTACGACAACATCAGTGGTGACGAATCTTGGATCTATGCCTACGATCCTGATTCCAAACAACAATCTACAATCTGGGTCTTTCAAGACGAGCCAAAGCCGACTAAAGTTGTTCGTTCTCGAAGCTCTTCAAAGAAGATGGTGGAAAAACCGGCCATGTTGCGACTTTTGCATTTGAAGATCATAGAGCGGTTAACGCAGAGTGGTTTACCACAAGTCATCGCCGAACTTCGAAAATCTAACTCAAAGCGACGCATCATCCTGCACCACGACAACGCAAGCTCACACAGCGCTCGTCAAATGCTTGAGTATTTAAAGCAGGAAAAGTAGAAATTCTTGACCATCCTCCATACAGTCCTGACCTAAGCCCTAACGATTTCTTTACATTTACTAAAATTAAGAAAAGTCTTCGTGGTCAAAGGTTCCAGTCCGGTGAAGAAGCAAGTCAGCCATTTTGAACACCCACATTTTAGAGTAGAATAAATGTTATAATAACTGGTTTGAGCGAATGGAAAAGTGTATTAAGGTACGTGGTGAATACTTTGAAAAACAATAAAAAGTACTATAAGGTTCTAATTGTGTTTTTTTCTTCAAACGACAAAACTTAAAAGGCATGCCTCGTTTATTCCCTGAGACGTCTAGGTGACCTATGTTAAAGGCTATTGCACGTTAACGCGCAATGACTACTTATTTATTAATCATTTCATAAAATCTGTTGTTGCACTTTTTATTTCTTCTTTCGGACCTAAAAAAATAAAATTACGCACAAACCTTTTTGTGCAAACCTCTTAATATGTTGTTCACGTGGAATAAAAAATGCACCTGCATACAAACCGATTTACGAGTTTCTTGGTTTATAGCATACAACTAAGTATTTTTCAACCTGATGGCATTCGTAAAAATAAACCTAATGTCTTATTCTAATTCGGGACATAAATATTCTAAACACATCATGTGAACAATAAATATGTGACTTTTTTTAACAGCAGGGAAGCATGTATATTGCCGTCTAGACAATGGAAGTTAAAATTTACATGAATTATATTTAGAATAAAAAATAGTTATTCGACTGACAACATGTTACTAATCAAATAAATATTACCAGCTTTACTTTTGCAGGTTTACCTCTATTAATAGATTCAATAAACCCTGAAAACTTGAAATAAACCCTGTACCAACTCGTCTGGCCAGCGTGGTATAGTAGGCCAAAACCGCCTTTCTAAGGAGAGGCCTATGTCCAGCAGTGGACTATTAAAGGCTGTTGATGTGAATAGATTCAATAACAGAGATGATTTCGTGTATTTTTTTTTTTTTTTGTTTAGCTGATACAAATACAAATCATGTACATAGGTGCAACGTAAACTCCTTCGAGTTTTAGCGAGTTTTCTACCCAAAGGTTACCTGTAAGTAATTGCTTTAAGGAATAAAGCCCTAAGGGCTAACATATTTTTCGGATGTATTCTTTATAAAAATTATGATTGTGTTCAGTAAGGTTTATTTTTGTTCTATTCTACTCTATTCTAAACTGAAAAATAATACAGGACAAGAAAACGAGCCAAATTTTAAGAAGTATATTAATTTGTCCTCTCACTCCGCTGAGTTGATGACCGGTAGGCGTTTCCACATGATAGAAAGAAGAAAGAAAAAAACGTTTATTTTGGCAATAGCATGGAAAAGGTAAAAAGGTAAAGGAGAGGCTTATGTCCAGCAGTGGACTATTAACCTCTCGCCAGTGACATGTCAAAATGTAAAATATTCATGTCTGTGGAGTCCCGTGAACGGACTTTACACAGACAACGTTTTTTAGGGTATAGGTTTAAAAAACCAGATTTTCTCTAAATCCATTAATAATTTATATTCGAATTACATTTCTTTGTGTAATTTCTTACACTACACTTGACTTTGAATTGCATTGTCACTGTTCTATGATAAAACAAATGGCTCACCTAAAACTGGCTGTTGATGATGATGATAGAAAAGATTTGGCGTACTAACGGTTGAGCACAGATAAGTTTTAAAATATTTGATATACTCGTAGTCTATTATTTCGAAAACTAAGCATCTAAATAACATCTTAAAAACGGCAACGTTTGTCTTCATAAATTGACTTGGTGACGAAAGTTAGGTACTTCTTCTAACTTTCGTTCGCAAGGATTAATACGCTATGCCAAGGAATGGAATGCTATATTTCATTAAAAATAAATTTAGGAGTATATATATATATATATATTTATGAGTTTATACATTTAAAAGTAGCCTCGTTACCGTTAGACTCTGTATGGTCTCGGATCAGAGGACCCTGTTTGTCTCTAGTCATTATAGCAAAGAACTAATTAAACACTTTTTAAATCCATGTTGAAATTGTATTAATAATAATGAAAAATGACAGTGGTGGTAGTCACTATCCATCAGGTGACCCGTCTGCTCGTTCGCCCCATAGTACCCATCTTAGATTATCTAACTAGAAAGGTTAATGTTATTCAATCTAATATAATTAAAGGGAGATTAGTTATAAATTGATTTCAGCCAATATACTCTAACTTCAACTTTTCAATCTTTAGAGAGACACAAAAAAATAGTTTACTTTGCCTCATGGACAAAGACTGTTTATTTTACTCACAAGACGTGATAAACAACAACTGTACAGACAAAGAATTACATGTAATTTCAATGGTATTGAATATCTTATAAACTACTTATTTCTTAAAATAAATATGTAAGTGGAATTCCTACTTTAGAGCGATAACAAACATATTGACGACGGTGGTTAACTTTAAGTAATTCCAAATAGAAGACGTTATTATATTTAGTACAACAAGTAGTACAATAAAGCAGACAAAAGCACATAGATTTCCTTCGTCAGATCTTGAATTTTATTATTCAATTTTCACATACGCAACTGTATGACTACTTAACATAATATTTTGTTCTCCTTTCACAATCATACAAACTTCATTCATAAGCCCCTATATTCCCGTTCAGATTCTTTAGATTCTATAAAGGTTGGGTCCAACAGCGGACGAGGCGGAACGATTATGTGAATTCGACGTGCGCAGGTTCCAATGTACTCTCGCCCTGACCGCTGTCTGATCCAACTTTAAATACTTAGAGGCTTATCCACAAAGTACAAAACATATCTCGTAAAACACATGAACCACAAGTAAATATAAGTTTTAAGATCATCTTACAAAGAATGAAATACATTTAATTGTTATTAAAATAAAGTCAATTAATTATAAAACTATGTATTAAAAAAAAATTACATACTACTTAATTGTGAAATCAAATCATTACTTTTTGGGATCTCTGTACACACCCATAAAGAGAACAGAATTTGTGGGACGTTCGTAAATTATATATACGAAGGGGAAGTTGGCAATAAAACGACTAGGCTCCGCTGGTCGGGATGATCGGAAGCCGAAGATCGCTGTCGCTGCTGCAGCCACAGTACCTGCAAACAAAAATACTCAAATTAAAGGATAGAGTTCTTTCTGGGATCCTTTAAACATCATTCAATTCTGAACGTAAAGAAATATAATACAGAAATAAGCCTCACCTACACATGTTCACAAAGTCACACACAGCTATAGCGTAGTCATATTCAAATATACATAATCAATATTTAGAATACCGAGAAGAATCTGTCTATTAATTTTCTGGTCGTTCCAAATATATAGAATGATGGATTAGTTTCTAATCGGTAGTTCTTGAACGAATTCTACTTAGCGTTTTTAGAAGTTGTGGTGGCTAAATTACTTTAGTTGCAACTACTTTCATTTTTCATTGATTTTTAATTTAATTTTAATTAAAACAATTTTCTCAAGACTAACTGTCAAATAGATATAATCGATAACACATCATTTATCTTTCATAATATAGTGAAAGTTAAAATTTCCGTTCTAAACCAATTGATTTACTGACGTAAGACAATTACAATACCCATAATGAGAAATTGAATATGTTGAATGGTATGGGTGACTTGCTAATTTCGGATTGTTTTAGGTTTAATATTACGTACCATCCTCGTCAATTTGAATCTTGGCTTTGTGGACGGCGTCATCGAAGAGGATGCCCGGTTGCTCTGTCAGGGTGCTGAAGTCTGCCGTTGCATTGAACAGGTCACCAACGCCTAGATCCTCCAAAATCTAAATATTGAAAAATCAATATAGAACTAAAGTATACGATTAGAAACGACTCCAATGATTTATTAAAAATATAAAAAGTTTTTTAAAGGTTGCGCGACGTACGACTTTGATGTACTCGTATCAGAATTTGTTTTACATTTAATGAAGGTACTCATTAATTCAATCGTATGAAGACGATATATTCGTACGAAGAATAAATTTTTAACTTTAAAAATGGAATTAATTAATTAGATATATATATAGATAATTAATTAAATTAATTAGAAACCGGTATCCGTTGTCATTAGAAAACACTGGACACGCACCCACATATAGGAAAATAAAATCAGCTATTTTTAACATCATCAACAGCCTGTAATAGTCCACTGCTGGATAGGCCTCTCCTTAGATAGGAGTTTTTTTTACAGGTTTTTAACGAAAAATATTTAATAAAATGTAGGTCAAACAATAGAAGTTTTAAAAGAAGTTACATTTCTTAGTCCCATGCTCCTCTCCATGGTGAACTTGGGGATTTCAACGACGACCTCACGTCCCATGTAACCCTCTTCGACCACCGCTGCGAGTCGCTCCGGCGTCAAATTAGCGATTATGTTGGTAACACCTAGCAGATAAAGCACCGTTAACGAAATGGTCTGAATTCATCTGACAGTAATATGTGCTATTCATACCAGCTTAATTAAGTATTAAGACCGTAATTAAAGTCTGTAAATAAAACAGTGATTGGATAGCTATTGTATTTAATGTACAATTCTTTAAGTCCCTTGTGTCGTACTGCAGAGTAATATCATTCTAGACTACTTATAATTTGTCAATTTATTGAGATTTGCAAAGATATTTGTATTGAGAGTGTTTTTAATATTCTTATTCTTAATTAAATTAAATTTGCATGAATTATATATAAATCTTTAAACCAAATTAAGAAGGCATTATGCCTTTTTTTTCTTTTCTTAAAAGACAACCCCCGCATTAGGAATATATCCTGTGTCTTTACGTGAAACGGACACAAAGAATACCCAGACTACGAACAACAATTTGTGGATCACACAAAGTGTCGTCCCATGTGGGGACGGACCCACAACACCCAGCGTAGTAGTGAGTGGCGGGGTGACCGCTTAAACCACTACGCCATCCGTGCAGTCAACCTTACCCAGTATTGTTGCCTCAAAAGTGTTTCTAAATATTAATATATATATTTATTAAGAATAAGACGCTTTAAATAAACTTGAAACTTCAAATATGAGGAAAAATAAAACGGGCGGATAAAATTTCTATGCCAATAATGATTCCTTAAATAGATAATTATTCATAAACATGTTTAAAAAAGTGAGGAAACAAACTGCAGAACCCACATAGACAGTATTAAAATAATTCTCGTTTTATATTATAAATAACTCAAATTAATGTGTTGTTTTAAAAATAAGTAGCTATTTTAGAGATTTCTAGTAACTTGCAGTTATTTCTTCACTTAGTATTTTTGTAACCCAAATTCATTTACTTTGACACTTAAAATTTAAATTTACAGTCACTCGTTTTAATACTATCCATTTATTTATTTTATTGTATTCTTATGTACATAATACAAACATTTACATCAAGGAATAGTGTGCACAAATACGAACTTAACCCATAGTCGAGTTCTCTTCCAGCAAACCTATGAGTGAAGAGGGGATATATGCATAACAAGAGAAAGTCATAAATCATATATCCAGAAAGAGAAAGTCATATATCCATATTATAATACCTCTTTTTTTCTTTTGCAAAGGCTTTTATTTTGCTTAGTACTCATAGAATTATTATTTTTTAGTTCTTACGTATACCTGTATCGTAAACTACTTAAACTATAGTTATAACTCAGCAATACGTGTATCTTTAGATAGATATTAAGTGTCATATGTGTCAATGTCTATAAAATTTACTCTTATCAAATTCAGTCATCATCATCATCATTAATTAAGAACTTACAGCGTTACTTAATACCAATGGACACTTCGATATACAATACTTGTACTGTTAGTACGCTTTGCAACTGACCTTCCTTCATGGAGTATGGAGGCAGGAGAATGTACATGCTGATGTCATTGCCTTTGTACGGCAGCTCCAGGATCTGTGCACCGAGATCGTCGTTCACCACTGCAATATGAACAAATATCACTTTTATTGCATGTTATTGAAAGCAATTTATTATTGTTAATAAAAAATCATATAGCATCTACTGCGTCAATAGAAGCTATAGATTTTTCTAGCATGGTGATCATTTTTTACATAATATTGTTTTTACTAGAAGCGAAGTCATGAAATGTAAAGAAACTTTTACAACTCTTACTGACTTAAACTAAACTTAAACAATGTTATTGACTTTAATTATATGTACCTTTAGCTTTTGCCAGCATCTGGACTTACGTAAAATTAATGTGCCGATCTCTTGGTAACAGTACAATTTCTCTAGACGACAGTATCACTCCGTCTCTTCTCTATTTGATGATATATGATCGGATGAACAATACGAACAAACATATATTCATTTTTAAGATTGAGATATACATAATTCATAATTTTTATACTTTAGATATATATAAAACGAATACTTTTACCCAGTTCAATACAATTTGTTTTATATTTAATCTGTGTATTATTCTTCCTAACAAAAATTCGTTTAAAACTATTTTTAATCAACTTTAAAAACACAAAAGAGGTGGTTATCAATTCGTCTGCATTTTTTTGTATGTTTGTTACGTGATATCTCCGTCAATTGTGGACCGATTTTCAATATTTTTTTTGTAATCGAAAGGGTATGCTCCCAAGGTGGTCCCATTATCAGCAAATAAGGATCTGATGATGGGATCCTGGAGAAATCGAGAGAAACTCAAATTTTTCTCGTACAGCTCCGACAACGTGTTTTAACTTATTTCTCTAGCTTTATAGGTATTTGCGTTAAGTAGTCGTTATGTCATGTTGCTGAGCCGATGGTGGAAGGATTCTTAACCTTTAGGAGTTATTATAACTATTTAAAAAATCGAATTATATATTGACATTGTTATATTCTTATAAGATATTTGTTAGGTGTTTGTGTTGGGTTACAGAGACATGTGCACAAGATAGTAATAAAAAAGATTACAAAACATTTAGACAAAAAACAATGTTTGTCAGACAATTATTTTCATGTTTGTTACCTCTTTCATTTGTAAACCGCACCGACTTTAAACAGACTAGAAGGGACTATTGCTATTATAATGTTACCTGTTATATTGAGGATACTTATAATAGTTTTTAACTTATATTTGTAATTATTTTTTAATTTTAGTGCTCTTTGTCAGTATTGTTTGAAGTCGGTTCAACTTTTTTTTAAAAGGATTTATGTTGTTACAAAAACATTCATTCGTAAAACTAATAATATGAAACATTCTTGCCAAAGTCCAATATAAAAATTAACAAAAATATAAAAAACTGTACACCAGTACCACAAAGTACGTTTATGAATAGTTTTCCCTACTTATTGGTTCATTAACAACATTGATGACTAAATAAAAATTAAATCGAAGAATATTTGAAACACGAGGCTCGGACTTTTGGAAATAATGATAAATCGACATCGTCGGTAGCAAAATATCAAACCCTATCAAAACTAAATTATTCTGTACTTACTATAGTGGAAGATCCCTTTTTGCTTCATAAACGGTACGAGGGTCTGACGAGTTTCAGATACGAAGAATGCTTCTTTCTTTGTCCTTTCTTTAAGAAATTTGGAGGCCCAAACGCCCTTGAAGTAAGCTGCGTTAGCAAGCACCAACTTGGTGTTATAGTTGATGCCATCCTCTGGGAGCAAGTCTTTGATGTTATTCTTCGTTACACGAGATACCCAATTGTTGATGTATTCGCGAGCTGCGCCGGGGTTTTCACGGAAGTTCTGTTAAACAAAAGAAGCATAAGTTTAGGTATGTGATGTATTATATATTAGGTATATCATAAAATTGTTTAACATTACTGTTGACGACTGAAAACGGTGCTCATAAAAGTACATGTACCTATAGCCACAGGAGCATGATTGTAAGCTATCTGTGCTATTCTATAAATATTATCTACTATAAATAAGTAACCCCTACTTAATCATAGCGGTCATAGCGCATTACACCCACCCGACACTCGACCAGCACAACCATTTTTTGTTTGGAATCCGTTCCCTCAAATAGGTATTATTTAAGTCAGTCAGTACACATCATACATGGATCTGCCTGGGCAATAGGATATAATGAAAATTCTAACCAATGTTTCCAGTTCCTCGAGGAACAAATTCTGCAGACACTGGCGCACCTGCAGCCCCTCGTCCACAAACAGCTTGTTGGCACTGGTGAACTCGTAACTGTCGCTATTGTTGTTAACACTGCGCGACCGTTTATCCACTTTGTATGCAGTCATCAAATTAATCTTGTCCTGAAATACGGAGATTAGCAACACTTAGTTTACAGGTTACCATCAAACTCGACTAAACTTTAATAAATTTTATTTGTTTCGCAGTTTGGGTGTTTTCTATGTATAATATTCTATATATATATATATTTACAAAAAAAGTCTATAAGTATTTTATCAGTCAATCTAGCATTCATAGTACGCGCCATGCTTAGTTTATGAAGTTAGTTTATGAAACTAGATGGCGTTATGTGTCAATGTCCGAAAATATTATTATTTTTAATATTTCTTAATTTTCTCTTTACATTTGAATGATACCAAACAGAAAGTATACTTATTCAATTATAAAATAAATTTTCAAATCAATTCATAAATGACGGAGTAACAAATTAAAAAACAAAAATTGAATTGAGAACATTCAATGACAAATTCGACTTCCATTACATTTCAATTCGTATCAAGTCTCTTAGTACAAATGTAACAAACTTAGTTAAACATAATTCACATATTTTTATATCGATTGATTGACTTTTTATGTAAATCGGCAGTAAATTATGAAAATAACCGTGATGTATTCAGAGATCGAGTTGCTATTAAATAATATTACTTACTAAGTTATCAGCAACTCGAAGGGACTCCTTCAACGATTGTTCTGTTTGTCCGCCGGCTGAGAAATAAGCCAGCAATAGTGCGTGGTACACGGAGAATGGTGAGAAAAATATATTGTCATCAGGAACCTCTTTGTTGATAATATTGAATAAGTTCAAGGTAAACTCCAACTGTCCTCTGTAAAGAGAAGACCGCGCCTCAGGGTCAAGCTTCTTCGATGAATCATCTTTGTAGAAACACTGACTGTTTACTGTCGATATGACTAGCAGAAATGACGCTGCGATTTTCAACATTTTGAATCTGCAACAAGGAAATACTGCATTAAGAACGCAATAGATATACATAGTATTGTTAAAAAATACGTAATCAAATAACCGTTATTGTAACCTGCCTATTATTACTACTTTTTAAAACAATAATGACAATTATCTATAATTAATCACAGAAATTGTCTCATGCCAATACACAGTTTAAGTATCATGGTCATTTAAGAGATAATAGCACATAATTATAGGCAAAATACAGGTTTGAATAAGTGTTTTACCATTCAGAAATAAATCTGAAAGGAAACGAGTTGTTAATATTTTCTCTTATATTTTAGTTAAGTATTACAAGTATTTTTTATACAAAGTTAGAAACTGAAATAGTGTAGCGACAATTATAAAAGCTTATTTACCGCTATCATTACATTATAGATTATCTTAATTACACTCATGTATGAAATACCTAGTCAGAATTTTCACTTGATTTATATGTTCAACCTCCGTATATCATCACGACGTGCGATAAACTTAAACAAAGTATCAAGACTGGTAATAAGATATCCTAAATGGTTTAAAAATAGAAAAATAACTTGAATATATGGTATATAGTACTAATAGCAGTTTATATTGTTAAGAATCAGACAGATTTGGCGATTTAATGAATGCAGTTGAAATAAAAAGTGTAAAGCCAAGTCAGAGAGAAGTGATCCGTCGCTATTTTACTGCACTTTCTCTACGTGAGAAGTGAGAGCGGCGCGAAGAGCACAGCACCTAATACCTTATATTATACCTAAATAGTGAAAAGTATAATTGCCCAGAAATCTCGATAAACATGTGTTCATATTTTAACTGACACAAAGAAAGATTTTGATTTCAGCTTATTTCTGTGTCTATGTTACATAACTGTTCACTTTCTTGAAACTCACTAGCACATCTCTTAAGTAAAGCTGGTAAATAATATTCTTCTTATTTTAAGACCGATTAGTACGCTCATAAAATATATTTCTATACAATCAACAGATATTTACATTAATTTTACATTAATTGAGGTCATATTATTTTATATTTACAAATAATATGTAGACTCTAATTCTTTTAAGTTTTTTACTAGTTATTCTTGTTTCTGTCGGCTTGTCCGCCCGTTAAACCCCATTTTTTACACACTAAACCTATTTTTTAATGGATTGCAGCAATAAATACTTATTCTAATTCATTTTGATTTATAACTTAAATAGGACAAATCCAAGAAAATGCCAAAAGTAATTAATTTTGTTGTAAAGTAAACCTATGAACCGTTTATTTTTAAAACGGGAAAGTTAAGTTAAAAACAATGATTTCTATCTATATACCTACACTTAAAAAACCGTTCAAATTCTACTTAGATTCAAACTGTGTTTGTCCGGCTGTTTTAAGGCCAAGGTTACAAAACAAAACCACAGCCTGTTTGATCCTAAGTTGATACTCGTGATACAAGTAATTTGAAACATCAGCTTCACAAACACGCTATCAATTATTTCCCACATGTCATGGAAAAACTTTATATTGTTCTTTTTCTTGCTCGATCTACATATGTCACTGTACCTACCTGTTCTTGAATAAATTGTTTATTATTATTTAATGCAACGTACATCATACTATGTTTTCTTATATGGAAATCTACTTTGACCCACCTAAAATAGTTATTATACCCTAGAAGCACAAGAAAGTCTAAGTAGTACTTAAATATGCTGAATAAAGTTAATTAATATCTTCTTGGCTATCTCATAATTATATATGTATGTCACTAAACATATATATTAAAATATAGTGCAATAAATTTTTCAGGAGTAATGATTCTCATAAACAAATAACAGTCGGTGTCACGACCGAGATTATGATAACAGTGAAAGTAATAGCTAATTTAGTTACCACCTAATCTTATAATGTTAGTTAACGTTCCAATCTATCAGTCAATCAATCGTATCATCTGGTCTTTTGGACATAATTTCTGATTGATCAATAGCCTCGTCACTCTCACCGGTCTCAAGCCTTGTAACTGTCCCCATTGTAGTTCTCAATTGCATTTATTACACGGATGGAAAAACCCAAGCGCTGTATGTAATGGTTGTTAAGGCTTGACCCGATAACCGCCAACATACTTTAATAAACTTAGCTGTGCTTGTATACGTACGTACATGTGTATGAATACAATACATGTGTACGTGTGTACACATGTTATTTCGTTGTAAGCAGTTGAAATAAAGTTGAAACGAAACAAGTTTATATGAGATTGAGTGATACATTGACGATTTAGGAGTGTTTTATAAAGCAAATTATTAGTCGTCGCGCTTCCGAATCAAAACCATCGCAAATATTAATATATCTCATTGTATTATTTTGTTTCGCTCAATAGCTTGTGCTAAATTAATCCCAAGCAGTCTTGTCTTCTACGTAATCCACAATTGAGAAATAGGCTTTCAGACATAGTTTACCTTATTTGGGATTTTATTTTAGAATCGGACTATGGTTTTTCTTATAGAATCGGAATATGGTACTGAATTAGTACAACAAAAAAGACAAAGAATTTGATATTTCGACGACCTCCGAACATCAGCTAAAACAAAAAAACTCAACACTGTACTATTTGTGTATTTCACATCAACAGCCTTTGATAGTCCACTGCTGGACATAGGCCTCTCCTTAGAAAGAAGGTTTTAGCCTACTGTACCACGCTGGCCAGACGGGTTGGTATAGGGTTTGTTTTAAGTTTTCCTTCCCTTTGCAGTGCTGTTGTCTATTTGTTTATTTGGGAATCATAAATAAGGTTATACAGATGTTTAAAGTTTCACAAGCTGCATACCTGCATGCATCTGACATTTCTAAATCTTTACCTCTGAACTCACAGATATGCTCACTGGCAAATACGAATCTTTAATAAATTCTTTTAAAAAGAAAGTTGAACCGCCTTCAAACAATACTGACAAAGACTACTAAATCTTAAAAAGTAATTACAAATGTAAGTAAATAAACCATAACAAGTGCCACCCTCAATATAACAAGTAACATTATAATGGCAATAGTCCCTTCTAGTGTGTTTTAAGTCGGTGCCAAGCCAAATAGGTGCTTGATAGGCTTGGTAGAATGTAACGCGACATCTGCAAGAGTCTTCATGCTGCATGATATAAAACAAGCTGAACGAGCCAAAGGGTGATAGGCACATCTCAAATGATATTATTATTTTAAACCCTTTATTAAGTAGTTGTTAAGTTTGGGTACGTAATGATCTAGTTGGTCTTTATTAATTAACAAAAACTGCTATGTTTCATTGGAATTATATTGAGTTCTTAATTCTTTGTAGTACTGATATAAAGCTGACATAGACCAGCATTACCATTTATGCATCGGGCTTGGCACCGACTTTAAACAGATCAGAAGGGACTATTGCTATTATAATGTTACCTGTTATATTGTGGGTCACATTTATTATAGTTTTTTTACTTATTTTGTAATTATTTTTTAATTTTTAGTGATCTTTTTCAGCATTGTTTGAAGTCATTCAACTTTTTTTTTAATATTTGATTTTACCATTTATAGTGTAAGATATGTTTGTAATGAGTAGATAAGTACGAAACTAAAACATTAATTACTGTAATGTATATTACCCAACTGTAGTATGTTAGGTTATATTAAATATAGTTATCTTAATAAATGCGTTTAGATAAGGTAGTAAGATGTTACATTTGAACCCGAAAATATATTGTTTTCCATATTACTTCATTTTCCACTACTACTAGTACTAGTGGCATTTTTCGTTCAAATTTTAATGGAACCAAAGGAGAAATATACCCTTAAAAGAAAAAGAATTTTCCAAATCGATTTACAAACGAAAGAGTTTTGAGGTAACAAACCTAAAAATAATTGCGTAATAAACAATCCTCAATGTTTTGTAATCTCATTTATTCTTATCTTGTGCACATGTCTCTGTAACTCCTTTTTTTTTTTTTTACGTGTGTAAATCCCCTCGGACCGACACCCCACCGGGGTTTGCGGCGGGGTGGTGTGTCGGACTCGGACCTACTAAAACCACACGGTGTGCCACTCTGCGCCTGCAATAGGAGGGATCCGGGAACAGCTGTTATTAAGAGATCCGGACCCCTCCTAGCGCCTGCCCGCAACGGCGCGGGCACCACCTTCGGTAAACTCTCTATTTAGGTCTGCCTCTGTAACTCCTAACATAAACATCTAACAAATATCTTGAAATAATAAAAACAGGTCAATACATGATTAGATTTTTGGAAGAGTTATCCTTTAACTACTAAAGGTCATGGACAATTCCATCATCAGCTCAGCAACATGACAAAATGACTACTAAACGCCAATGCCTATATAGCTAGAGACACAAGCTGAAACAACGTGTCGGGGCTGTAAATTTTTTTGTATGATTAGTTAGAAACCATTGATCGTCTGCCATCAGCCTCAGTTTGATTTTTTATCATGACCCTTTTCTTTCTACAGATACTATAACGTTTTACAAGTTTCACAACAATGAATCATTTTGAAGGATATCCTTAAGCGAGAGTAAATAGTGGTTCGTGCTTTTAAACGAAAGTGGAACACGTCTGTTCATTTTGAACCGTTTTATGACTCAGCAGTTACGAGATTACGTACTCTTTACATTGCTTGTGACACTTGAGTATTTACGTTTCTTCAACGCACATCATCAACATCCTTATTGCAACTCGAGATTGCAATAAGGAAGTCGATAATTTGTGGGTTTTCCCAACAACATTCCGTATATTACTTTTCAGGAATTTAAAACTAGAAAATAATTTTCTCGCATATGAATAACCTATCTATATGCCAAATCTCGTCCAGATCCAGAAAACCGTTTTGGCGTAATTGAGTAACAAACACACTTACGTTTTGTAAAGTTAATAAAATTGGTGTCTAATTATTATAATTTTTAATAGAGAACATAATTATACTCAGAGTTTGAAATCGATCAGTTAAAAAAAAATAGTTCTTGCACCCCTGTTTAACCCTTAATTTGGCACGGGTTCCAAGTGTTATATATTATACAAAATTCTTTATGTTTGTATTTCTAGTGTACATAACAATAGGAAAAAAATTAGAAAAAAAATCTACTCCCTTCAGGTTTTCAGGAAACCAATGTTTATTACAATGAACGTTGCGAAGTATGGTAAAAACTACCATTGAATTGCAATGTTTACTGTGATGAACATGATCAAATTAGGTTACAAATAAAATAGCTTTATTATTGTTGAGTGTTTTTAATTATATAGAAAAAGAAAATAAAAATAGACAAAAACAGTGTGAAAAATAAGAGTTTATGTGGGTATTATTATATTTTAGTATGAAAATTTAGGAAACAATTACGAGAATTTCTTCCCGTGACGAAACACAATCTCATGTTACATTTTAAACATTGTTGGGTTTGTCTTTCATGTATTGTTTTCTGCTACCCGCTTTTCTCACCTTATACGGAATCATCATTTCATCTATACTAAATTTTCTTTCTTTTTCTTGCTTCAAACAGTTTTCCCTTATTTTTCTGCAACAGGCCTTATTTTGTAATATCTATCCGAGTCTTCCAAGGCATTGTCGGCAAAATGGAGAAATCTTCGAATTTGTTAATAACGTTTCAACGTCATTAGGTCTGCTATGGGAGCATACCGGAATCTACCGCTCCAATAGTCGAGGTATGAAGGCAATATCACAATGCCCATAAGGATGTGGATGGCTAAAAAATCTCGTAGTCGTCATCTTCTATAACTTGTATGGATTTTCCAGTTTGTTGTACGGAATAAAGGTTTGTGTTCTGTAATATCAGTTAATATGTCTTGAGAAAAAAATAAATTAAAATAATAAAAAGTATCGTCATTGGATGGTACGGAGGTATCAATTATATCTTCGTAATTTTCTTCAATTGTGGCTCGGTGATGAAAATTGATGCTTTTTTTCCACTTATAGGTAAGGATAAATTTCGGAACCCTTCTTGTTCTCTTGGCAACTGGGGCAATTTGCTTTTGGGCTCATGGCTTCCTTATAGTTGACGTTTCAGGGGTTGAGGAAGGAGCTACAGATGGAAGAGACAGTATAGAAGATAGTGATGGGATATTTTCGTAATTAGGCTCTCTGGTCGGTGTAGCTGGACATATATCGCGTAAAACTGGACTCAATTGAAGTGCTACGGATGGATATGGTTCGGAATGGTTATCGTCATCATTGTTACTATCTGAAGATTCACAACTGCTCAGTATATGCATGCGCTCTAAAAATGAGTCTAGAGAAGGTGGTGAAGATGAAACTAAGCTTGGGGAATGCAGATCTATCAATTCGTTATCGCTATTTGGGTCTGATTTGTCACTAGTCTCTGAAGGTGCATGCTGGCAACCAAAAACACCAATGTAAGCAAAATGATAGCGGCAACCAGAAACAAATTTTACATTTTTAAATTACTGGATATTTAGCATTGTTCACCGAGATGAACACAACAAATTGCAATTAATTTATAGTGTATTTGACTATGTTCATCACGATGAACATTAAGTTTGTCGTTATCTACAAGTTCGGAGAGCACATGAAAGTACACAGTTTACTCCCAAAATAATAGTAAAAAGTTTAGAGAAATTAGCAAAGGCATTATAACATCTGAAAACATGCATAAATCAAGAAAACAATTTTAATTACCTTACGAAGAACAGACAATCTGCCAGTCGCTGACATTTTGCTTTGTAAGTGACAGTTACATTGTTGCCAGAGACATAACATATTTTTATACTATTAAAAATATTTAAGCACCATGATATAATGATAAAAAAATACGATTTTAGTTAAAAAATATCAGCAAAACATTTTTTTTTAAATATGTTTCTCACAGTAAACATAATCGAATTAAGGGATAAGGGTAGCTTTGAAAAATTACTAACAACGTTTTTCATCACTTTTGAAGAGGATTTACTATGAGTTTGAAAACGCTACTACCAAAAATAACGAAGCTTCATATAAATTTAAAACCCAAATTTTGCACCCTAACCTACAGGAATATTTGTACAGAATTTCATGCTTCTAGACCTAGCGGGTTTCAGCTGTGCGTTGATCGCTCAGTGAGTGAATCAGTCCGTCAGTTTCTTCTTTAATAGATATATGTAGATAATAATCATAAGGGACACATGTCTACCCGTTGGACGTAAACTCTTTGGCATAAATTTTACTTCAACGCATAACAAAGAGTAACTTATGTCTATTGTACGTAAATTTTTTGTGTGTTTTAAATTGCACTAATATAATAGTTTATAGTATTCAAACACTTCTTAGCATTTATTTAATTACCAAGTTAAACGTTTTATTTTGTCTACCATTTTCTTGCTGCTACAATTTTAGCTTTTACCTAGTTCGCCATTTTCCAGACCAATTTCATTTTATATAGAGAATTTTCTGGGAGACGCTAACAGTTGAGAATTTTTTACTATTACAGACGTAAATTATTATTCTTGTTATTAATGGACAGCTATACTTAACCGAACAATCCTCATTATGAAATATGAATAAGATTTTTCATATCAGTGACACATAGCGATTCTCGGAGACCTGATCTGTGTACATCATAGGGAATCCCAATGCACCGCGAGATGGCCGCGCTCATTGTCGCGGATCAGTAATGTACAATACTTGGATTTCCCTTTGAAATCGATTTTGTAGCGAAAGCCACGCCGCGCGTCATCGTACGCTCATTTGTTACACAACCACCGTCCGTTAACTATGTCATTACTACATCGGAGACATCACGGTATATGTTTATGGAATTGGGAAATTGAAAAATTATACTACACGACATCAATTTGATCAATGCACTCAGTTCAAGTAAATGTATGCATCACTTTATCTACTTTATGTTGATTTAATCGTTTCTATGTAAAATATGTGTTTATATAAAAATACTAGCCGACCCGGCAAACGTTGTTTTGCCATATACATTATTTCAAAAAAAAATTGTCAAAAAAGAAAAAAAATTAGATGTGTGAAAAATAGATGTTGGCTGATTCTGTGTTTTCATCAGATTCGTGATTCAGATTTTGTGAAATTTTGTGTGCATATCGTACCCGATATGCACACAAAATTTCACGAAAATCTGTAGAGCTATTTCGGAGGAGTTCAACCACGCACACCGTGACACGAGAATTTTATATACTAGATAGTTTAGCATATTTACCTTCACCGTGCGCATGAATCAGTCAAATAAAGCCTGAAATTAACTAAGGATTATTTTATTTTCCCAAGTTATATTCAGAATACTTTTATTTAGCCTCTGCTTATTGATAAAATTATGGTCATATATTATAATCATAGACCAATATAAGTAAAATAATTTGGTATAATATACATAAAGTAGGCAGAAGCTACTAATTTAATTTGTAGACTTGTGCAGACTTGAGTGCCCCTTTTCACCGACTTCAAGACATATTTTTGTTTATATTTAAATTTTATATAGTATTGTGTGTGTATTAAGTGTGCCAAAAATAAGTGTAAACACTGTACATAGTAAGGATGTTTTATCTTTCATATTATATGAAATAAAACCTGTAAAAACAATTTCTACATGAGCGTATACCTATTAGTTAAATACCTACATATGTTACGTGTTGTCATTTAGTCATTTACGTACGTTATGAAAACTTTGAGGAAAAATTTCAAAATAACTATTGTGGCAACAAATCCTAAACCTGCCGCCTTTGTTTAATATAAGCAGAACAACATGTATGCCACCAAAGTATTGTCATATTAGTAAATATTGTACTCATGAGGCATTTGTTTGCTCTCATCGATATCCGTCTAACACCATGTCTAAGAATATAGTCATCAAAAATACAGATAAAAGAGCAAATAAACCAAAAAGTATTATAATTACATCGTTAAACTTATCATTTTTTTGTTTCAAAACAAGTTTTTGTAATGCCGGTATAGCATCTTCGATCGGCTGACTGCCAAAAGTCGTGTTGCATGCGCCCCACGTACCTACTTTCTGACGACTGTGGTAACGGTTTATCAAAGTATAAAGAACAGGCTTCATTGAGTTGAAAATAACTTAACTTTAAAGTTTAACACTAACAATGATGTGCGTGAGATATTGTTACCGATAACGGTTCCGATGTCATTAATTTTAAAGGTTTACATGTTTCATTTCGTATGTACAAGGAAAACTTTAAAATACTAAATATTGGTTACATTCTACGACTATAGTGAATTACTCTAATAAGAGATATATTATTTATCTACTTTTTACTAAAAAAGATATTTTCCTTTAATAATAAAGAGATAAATAATATAACTAAACGATAATATATTCATTTAATGATTAAAATTAGATTATTTTGATTATTCGATAATATATTTCAAGGAAGGCTATAAACGTTCCATCATTACGATACGGCTCACTGGAGAACAGCAGTCGTCATCATATGGCCATACGCGGGTAGTAATGAAAATCTGTAAAGACACATTACTAGTAGAACTTGTCCTCTAAATATTTGTTACTTTACACTTTGGGATATTACCACAAGTGTTTCCATTGACCTCGTCCCATTTAACTCAGTTTTCAGAACCATAGAGGCCACACATAGGTACACGATGAGACGTTACGCTTGCATAAGATCCTTGCTTTAAACCAGTACATTGCTGGAATAATAATTAACTATCTGCGTTGCATATTAGTGCTTTTATATTAAATAGTTTTAAATATTGCAACATTTAACAACAATTTAATATGCTAGTACCTAATAACTTTTTATTATTTTATTGCCAATGGTATCGTGCATAGTTTTAGTTTAATGAATCGGGGCACAAAAAGTAGACGTTCGATAACAAAGTTGCAAACAGGTTTGGCTAAGAATAATTAAAAACTTATCTTGTTTAAAAAAATACGATTAAGTAAAATCTAATCTTGATAACAGTAACACAATGAAGAAGTTTTCATATCTTGGATTACTTGTCTCCGTTAATGATCATTAGCGCCGTGATCATTAGGTAAGTTCACCCTATTGTGGCAGTAAGAAAACTTTCTAAGCATTAAACATCACGAAGAGGCAATCGGCTGAAGTGAAATGCACCTTGACGAGTCACTGCAGTCAAAGCATTCAGTCAGCATCGTCAGCATTTTTGCTTTCGGTTTGAAATAACTTTTTTTCATCATTGTCAAAACAAAACATAAAACACGTTACTCTAATATTGATATATTTGCTTTAGGTATATTGCATATTGTATTACATATATTCTAAAACTTTGTTAATATTCCGTTTATACTGCTAGACTATAGTACATCGAGTAACTTTACTCACTCACAAACGTAATAAATAACAAAAAAGTAATAAAATAACAAAGATAATAAGAATATAATAATATTTTCGGATATTTGACACACAACGCCACCTAGTTTCAAACTAAGCAGAGCTTGTACTATGAAAGCTAGATTGACTGTTAGAATCCCTGTATACTTTTTTGTAAATATATGCATATTATACATAGAAAACCAATTAAACCGTTATTTCATGCCATGTCATGTGTCATGTCATCTAGTAGATCAATAGATAATGTCTGTACATATAAAATGTACAAAAAACCGCATATTCTTTATATACAATGAAATTATCTTGATTTCAATTTCAAGTTCATACTGTAGCTCCCATAACTGAGTAATAGTGTCTAGTCTCTCTTTTTCTTTAACTGGCATTAATAGTTTTTTATAATTTGATTGTTGATAAAGTGAAATTTAACTTGTTATACTCCAGATGCAATCTATCAAAATAAAAATTAAGACAGGTAGGTAACACAAAACACGATATGTACATAAAGGTTTATAAACAAAAAAACTCAACAAACCGTGTCGAAACTAGATTCAGATATACCCAAAACAAACATCCTTAGCTCAGAACAAAAAGTCGTTTAGATGTGATCTCATGTGATACTATAAATGTTGTTGTTGTTTGGGTTTTCTATTATTGGATTACCTACTACTCATATCCAAGAGATTTTGCAACGAGATATTTGTTTTTTAATGGTGTAAGACGTATAAGTCTATATAATAAACATAATCCACTGGTTTTAAGTGCAATAACTAATAGCTAGAGAGATATAAGAGTGATAACATTATCGATTGATATACATACCTAGTTATCGTCATCAATGTGTACGTACTGTCAAGTATTTATGATAAACTTGTTGAAAGAAGTGTTGACAACAGCCTGTAATGGAAAACTGCTAAAGATTTTCGGACGGAGTTACACTTGTCACAAGCGTTAAACTTTGACCTCGTATTTGCAGCATCCGACCCCTACTTACTAAGAACCTTAGGTACTTTAAGAGACATAATGTAGAACTAACTCCTAACACGGTTCTCCTCTATAGTGTCTAAGGGAAGTACCTAGTTAATCAATATAATTCGTTGCCAGAGGATACAGGACGAAAATTCAATACCCGAGTATTCAAAACCTTCTTTAATAAAAATTCAGTGCTGAGATTAATCAACTTCGCATTGAACTTCACATCACATCAACAGCCTTAATAGTCCACTGCTGGATATAGGCCTCTCCTTAAAAAGGAGTTTCTGACCTATTATACCGTTACGTACGTATACGTTGGCCAGACAGGTTTTTATAGGTTTGTGTTAAGTTTTCCTTCTTTTTGCAGTGCTGCGTAGTTCGTTCCCTTAGTCGGCTCTTACGACACCCACG